TGGAAAACTGGGTAAGTGTGGAGGTGTGCTGGTAACTCTAAGGTATAGGACGGTCCATCTTTGCCGCCCTTGACTTCCAGAACAGGCCACGGCCCTCTATATGTGGGCAGTAACTTCTGCGAGATGTTCTCCTCWGGCGYAAACTCTTTCGAACTAACCCAGACTAAGTCGCCTACTTGAAACTGTGAAGGGCGACGATGTTTGTTTGCTTGTTCTATCATCCTATGCTGGGCTTTCCTGAGGTTTTCTACAACAGTAGCTAGTTCTTTCTCGTGCTGTATAGCGAACTCCCGGGTCCCGGGCGGCAATCTCTGAATCTGATCCCGATTGAGTCCCTCAAACGGTCTGCGTGGTCTAAAGGACTTGTGCAGTTCGTTGGGAGTGCGGCAGGTGGCTAGATGCACGCTGTTATTGTACGCACTAGCTACTTTAGGCAACATCTCATCCCAGTTAATCTGATCTGGCCTAATATACATGTGCAGAACTTGCTGCAGGATCTTGTTCATTTGCTCTGTCTGACCGTTAGTCTTTGGATGGCGGCCGGACGACATCAACAACTTAGATCCATATACTCCCATGAGTTCTTGCCAGTTCTGGCTAGTAAAGCGACTATCTCTATCGCTAACTATAGACAGCGGGATTCCATTCTCACTAACCCAACAGTCAAAGAACCTCTGTATGACTAAATCAGTACGCGCCTCAGAAGGCAAAGGAACAAAAACTGCGTACTTGCTAAAGCGATCAACTATGATTATGACTTGGCTCTTGCCATGCCTGCTCTTGACTTGAGTGTCCATGAAATCTATTGACACTGAGTCTCCTGCCTGATCCGGAATGGGCAAGTGTCTGAGAAGACCTAACGGGGCACGCGTAGAAGACTTGTTACGCTGGCAGACCTTACAACTGCGAACATACTCTACGCAGTCATTCTTCATCCCTGGCCTAACGGGGCACGCGTAGAAGACTTGTTACGCTGGCAGACCTTACAACTGCGAACATACTCTACGCAGTCATTCTTCATCCCTGGCCAGGTATACGCGCGCATCAGATTGGCTAAGGTCTTTTGCCAACCAAAATGACCTTCCGTGTCATGGCATTCTCCCAGGATGAGACTGCGGATCTCTTCGCTATTGGGGATGCACAATCGGTCAAAAACATTAGTCTTCTTAAAAAGCAACCCTTCAGTAGTGCGGTAGTTCGGCTCGGTCTCTGGGGCCTCCTTGACTTTCTTAAGGAGCTTACCATAGATAGGGTCCTTCTTGTAGGCTTCTCTAACCTGCTGCTGCAGATCCTTTCCTATATCGAGGTAATGTACTATTGCCCCAAAGTAATCAGCTCTTCTACTCAAAGCATCCGCGACTACGTTGTACTTCCCTTTGACAGGCTTGAGCTCAAAGTCGTACTGATCTATCTCTGTTGCCCACCTAGTAAGCTTAGGTGTCATCTTGGCCTGCGTCTTTAACCATCGTAACGTCTCATGGTCAGAATAGACTTTGAAGTGCCTCCCAAGCAA